GGGGGGGGGGGGGGGAGACGTGACAAGACCCTCCGCACAAACTGGTTGGAAGGGACACACAGACAACCCCTGCGCCCCCATGACCTGGGCTGCCCTCTTGCCCATCGCCCCCCTTCTGCCCCCTTTTTGCAAGCAAAGGAAGGGGGAGGAGGGAGGGTACAAGGATGAAGAGGACCGCCCCGGGAGGGAGGGGGAGAGAGAGAGGGAGAAAAAGGGGGGTAGCTTTGTTGGGGTGGGTAAGAGGAGGGGGGGGGGAAAGCGAAGGGCGAAGAGGTGAGGACTTCTTCTCGGCACCGGCGAAAACATGCCGGCACACCGCGAGCGACGTCTGCCGCCCTCATTCGCACACCTACCACCCCTGCACATGCATACACACATCACGCCTGGCTCAGGCTATCAGGAAGAAAGGACCTCCTCCATGCTGGCCTCCTCACCGGACTCCAAGCCCAGGGACGGGCCGGAAAGGGGAACAGCAGTCCCGGCCTCGGCAGTGGCGGGCTTTCCCGGCGCCAGGAAGCCGCCAGCATCGCCGGTGTCAGTGCCCCCATCAACAACCGCCGGGGGGCTGGATTCCGAGTCGACCGACGCAGCACCCCCTTCGGCCTCGGGGTGCGGCAGGCCATCGCCGACGCTCGCGGCCGCCGTCACCGAGGACGAGGAAGAGCAAGAGGAAGAGCAAGAGGAGGAGGAGGGCGATGGCGGCGATGGCGATGACGCAGCAGCCGCAGAGGACATCTCCACCATGGCCGGAGGGCTGCCGGTGTCGGCCGCCTTGTCGCCAGGCAGACCCTCGGCGTCAATGGCAGGCAGAGCCCCCATCGGGGTGGTGGCAGACGACGACGCGGCCTCCGGCTCGGTGGCGCCGGTCGACAGATCGGCCTCAGGCGCGACAGACGCCGCCGTCGCCGCGGCGGCCACAACAACCGCCTCGGCAACCGGCATGACCACCGGCAAGTCAACCGGCGCCACGAACTCCGTCAGCACATTGCACAAGGCCCCCCCCCCGGGGGCGGGCGGCGCGTCGTCAGCCACCCCGGCAACACCGCCCCCATGGCCGGCCTCGGTGCCAGCCACGCTCACCCCATCCAGGGGCAGCAGGAGCGACGAGACGCCGGAAAAGTCGGCCCCAGACAGGCCATCCACCCGGCGCAGGTAGAAGGTCACCGACTCGTCGTCATCCTCATGGTCGCCGGCGTCCAGATCGCAATCACTGAGCATCAGGCTGAGGTTCAGCCGCGGCGACTGGCGAATCTGATCCATGGTCAGTGACCCGGGCAGGTCCGTCAAGGAGGAAGTACGCGAGCTGGCCGACGACGAGGAAGCCAATGACAGGAGCTGCTCCTGCACCAGCGGCGGCAGTGACTGATGGGTGGCAGAAGACCCGCCGGTGGTGGGGGCCGGCTGCGACTGCTGCGGCTGCGGCTGCGGCTGCTCCGGGCCGCCCGCCGCCGGAGTGTCAACGGACCCGGCCGCCCCGGCCGCCGGCGACTCCGGCAGCAGCGACAAATAGAACAAATCGGCCACCTGCTGCGAGTTGATCGACCGCGGGGAGTCGGCCGGGCGGAAGTGCCGGAGACCCTTGCGCAGGGCCTCCCGCAGGGTGCTCATCCGATGGAGCTTCAGGTCAACCGGCGCGCTGTCCGGCCAAATGTCCGACGCGTCGATGGTCACCGTGACGCGGTTGTGCAGGGCCGGGCCAAGCTCACGCACCAGCAGCCACCGCATGCCGGAGTAGCCGGACTCCATCAGCTCATTGCGGATGAGCACCGGGAAGTCCGTGGGCTCGAGCGCTCGCGAGCCCACCGGGTCCGCCAGCACGGCCAGGCGCAAGTCCGCGGCCACGCGCGCATCGAAGGCAAACTTCTCCACCGCCCAGTCGCACACTTCGGCCGCCGTGGTCAAGTCGGTCATCATCATGGTTTTATACTCGGCCTGGCCATTCTGCCAGAGCCCATCGCAGTACAGCCGGATGGGGACCTTGGTCACGACGAAGCTTTCGAGCGACCCGCCGCTGGTGGAGGCCCCGGTGGCCGAGCCGGTGCCCCGGCCGCTGGGGACGCCGCCGGTCGGGCCCTCGCCGCCGGTCACCCCGTCCATCGAGATCGGCATGGAGCCGGCGATCGACTGGCTCATGAGTCGGCTCCGGGGGTTGAAGATCGGGTAGCCGGACAGGGGGTTGGTCGGGTTGGCCGCCATCGAGGTGTCCTTCATCCGGAGATAGAGCTTGGTCGGGACCCCGGGGTAGGCATGCTCCACGGCGATGATGACGTCCAGCGGGAGCTCCTCGTTTGAGATGAACCGGCTGGCATGAGGGGCGTCTGTGAGTGTGTTGTTGTGGTGGGGGTGGGGGTGGGGGTGGGGGTGGTGGTGACGATAGTGACAATAGTGACGGTGGTGACGATAGTGACGGTGGTGACGGTGGTGACGGTGGTGACGGTGGTGACGGTGGTGACGGTGGTGACGATAGCGACGGTGGTGACGATGGTGACGGTGGTGACGATAGTGACGGTGGTGGTGACGGGGCGATGAGACAGGTGTCAGTAAAGGAAAGAGATCGAGAAAGACACAGGAAGGGAAGGAGGCGGGGCAGGGCAAAAGGAGCAGCCCACAAAGGTGCCGAACACCAGGTGAGAGGGGCCAGAAAGGCGGGGGCAGACGACAAACGCACTGGCACTCTGAATGACGATTTCCAGGCGGAAGTCGCTGGGCCGAGCACTGGAGTTGTACCGCCGGAGGGCCTTCTTAATGAGGCCCTTGGTGGACTCATCGCGGCTGGCAAACACTGACCGGTAGGCCACATCCATGTCGAATCCGTGGGAGTAGACCCGGATCTGGATGAGGTTGGCCAGGGGATCCGGCTCGGTGGCCTCGCGCCGGACCAGGAAAAGCCGCGGCGCCCGGGACGAAGCCAGCAAACTGCCGGACATGGCCGACAGGTGCAGGGGGTTGGCCCCGCCAGCCGGGCCAGTCACCGTGTTCAGGGCAGTCATGCTGCTGGAGGGCGTGTGCGAGGACCCGAGCCCGGCGCCGGAAGCCCCGGCCGCCGAGCCGCCATAGATGGAGGCAGGCCGCTCGGCCACGGTCGGCGTCGAGGGGGCCGAAAGGTTCTGCCCGCCGGCCGCCGCGACCAGGTTGTCGAGCTCCGTGTCGAAGTCCGACACACGGGAGCTGTCCGGCAGAAGGACGCCTGGGAGTGGAGTGCGCGAGGCAGGGGGAGGGAGAGAGGGAGGAAGAGAGGGAAGGAGGGGGGCAGGGGGGCAGGGGGGCAGGGGGGCAGGGGGGGGGGGTGAGTGATTGGACGCAAACCCGCCACGCGTGCACACACAGTCTGCCACAGTGGGAGATCCCCGATAGCGGCGGCGGCAGCAGGAGCAGCAAGCAGGGACGGCGGCGTGCACGCACCCTTCGACGGAGCATTCAGAGCGATCGAGTAGAGGTCCGGCGAGTCGGTGATGCCGAAGCGTCCCAGGGCCGCCACCAGCAGGTCGCGCATGGTGTCGGAGGCCGTGTTGTAGGTGATCAACTTGAAGGAGATGTCGTCCTTGAAGACGCGGATGCTCGAGAGGTTGGACTTGTCGGCCTTGCGCAGGAGGAACTTGGCGTTCTTCTGCGCCTCGGGCGACAGCTTGACCAGCTCCTGCACCGGGAAGCCGCTCTTGCTGCTGAGGATGGTCTCCGACTCGCCGACCGACAGGCAGAGATTGTACTCATTCATGATGGTGTACACGTCCTCCTCCCCGGCACCGGGCATGAACTTCTCCACGGCCTGGCGAAGGACGCTCTCGGTGGTGGTCGAGTGACTGGCGCGGACGACTTCACACGCGGGGCACGGGAATCATACGCGTCAGAGAGCTGGGGGAGGTGGGGGGGGGGGGCGCAGGGCGCGGGGCGCAGGGCGCAGGGCGCAGGGCGCAGACAGCCGAAAGCAAGGGGAGCGTGGGGACGCCCGCAGACACACACACAGACACACACACAGACACACACACACACATGCACACATGCACACATGCACACATGCACACATGCACACATGCACACATGCACACATGCACACATGCACACAGGACAATCGCAATCGGGCGCATGGACAGTGACACGAAGCGCCCGGGCACCGAGCAGAACATACCCTTGTAGGCCAGATCCAGATCGGCGATGCGGCTCTGAATGCGCAGGAGGAACTCCCCATCGAGGGGCTGCTGCTGGCCGGCCGAGGCCAATTCCGGCGACGAGGGTGCCGACACCGGGCGAATGGAGGAGGAGGAGTGCCCGCGCCGGGAGCTGCTCGAGGTGGACCCGGCCGGGCCGAGCCCGGTGGGCGAGGGCTCCCCGCCGGCCGACTTGGACGAAATGCCCTTGATGAGATTTGAAATGGAGTGGCGCTTGCCGCCGGAGGCCCCGCCGCCAGCCGTGGCCACCATCGGCGAGGTGGGCACCCCGGCGGTGGAGGCCGACTTGCCGGAGCGCACGGCCCCGGCGCCCGAACCGGTGACAACCACCGGCGAGCTCATCGGCGACAGGGGGGACGACGCATCGCCCGCGGCCGACACGCCGGCCGTCTCCCCGGCCAGGGGGGAGCTGCTGTCCAGGCCGACGGCGGCCACGGCCGCGGTCACAGTCGACGTGAAGGCCTGCTCCTGGTCCAGGAGCCCCTCGGTCTCGGTGCCGTCGGAGTAGGTGACCACATTGTTGAAGGACACCTGGCCGGCGTCGCGCAGGATCGGCGGCATGGCCTCCATGTCCTCGGGGGTGGCCATGGAAACGGTTTTGTTCCGGAGGGCGTTCACACGAGCCAGGCGAAGTTGGGTGGACTATTGCCGGGGGAGGGGGAGGAGAAGGACGGAGAGGCGCATGGGTCAGTGCCCGGGTGGGTGGGGGGGGGGGGGATGGAAAGTTGGGCACGAAGCCAGGGCCATGTGCTTGTGCCGACGAGTGCGTGCATGCGCGCGCTTGGGCGTGTGTGTGTGTGTGTGTGTGTGTGTGTGTGTGTGCTGACCTCGATGAAAATGGCAGGGATGTAGCCGGTCATCTGGGAACGGAGATTCAGGCAATACCA